TGGTTTAGCATGTGAGATGGATCTCAAGGTTCCCTGCAAACCATGCAGATGCAAAAATGCGAGGAGTAAGAACTCCAAGCATTCTCTTGCCGTTGAAGCCCTCTTGACAAGCTTCGAAGCGCTTCAATCTGTATTGAACGCTTTGAAGTAGCCTTCAATGTACATGCTGGAAGCACCTTAATCCATGCTCTTGATCAACAAAGCCCCCCCCCCCCGGCCTCAGGTTCAAACAAAATTCGTTTGGCCAAACTAGCAGTCCAAGAGCACTTTAATGGCAGAGGCTGTTGTTTTCTGCAAAAAACACTTAGATGTAGAGGAAAGCAATTCCAATCCCGAAACAGGAGAAGGATCTTTCTCAAGTGTTTTTTTTTACACTTGATGTTAAACACATTTTGAGTGATCTCCGAATGGATTTAAGTCGCTTTTGATCTATGTTGAGTTAGATTGCGGAGCTGACATTAAAAGGTTTCAGGTTTAGGGGGACTCACTTACTTGCCTGCTCCAAAGGCCTGTAAAAAAACAATGAAACATGTGCTGTTAATGGGTTTCGTTTGGGTATATATGGGTGGTTGTCAAAATTATGGTCCTTTTTTGGGCCCCTATTATAGTACGGCACCTAATTTTTAGGGTACCCAAAAAGGGACCCTAATTTTGGCAACCACCCATATGTCTTTACGGCCACAAGTGCTGCCGACAACACCCACTTTGATCCTTTCGCTAAGGGTGACAGCACATTTTAGGCCCCAGCAACCCAAGAAAAGTCAGCCTCATGGGTTTAGGGTTTAGGGTAATACTGTTTGGGCCCCGCATTTCCCTCTTGATACTGCGCATATCAGATCCACCAAAACCCTCAGGTATGCCGAGATGTCTGACAGTGAGAAATCCGAAATCCCGTAATGCTGCTGGGCCGGAAATCTAGGGGAAACGCGTCCAAAAATGTCTTGAGTTTTGAACCTCCCAAAACCATTTGCCAGCAAGGGTCGGCGGTTTTGTGTCAACCCGTTTAGCATAGCTAACTTGGCATGCATCCGCATTGGACCACAACGGAAAGGCCGTCCCAGCAGAGCCTCCGACCGAAATTAGCTACGGGTGCGAGCTGTAGTGGGATGTAAGAGGTACCCATGTGAATGTGTCAAACCCGGATACTTTAAAGCTCTGCTGACGCTATCGGAATTCGCAGGATTGCTGCTCGGTACCCATGAAGTCCTGTGTGTTGGTCTTGCTGTCATCGCAAGCCTCGGGGCTTCAAAGGTCTTCTGCGGCACACAATGACATGTCGCACAGCGCTGGTATTAGGGAGGATGAGAGCTCCAAAACTATAGTCTCCCTTAAGTAGATAGAATATGGCTTTGGGTATATGATGATAAGAACCCCACATACCCCATATTCTATCTACTTAAGAGGGACTATACCCTAAACCCTAACCCCGAAATAATCATAGTTTCCCTTTTCTTTTTTCTTTTCCATTATCCCAAAAAACAACCTTATTTTCTCTACTGAAGGGGACTATCGTTCTCTCCTGGTCGTTCAAAGTAAAGCTGAGGCTTCAGCCAGCGTAGCAGAGACGCAGAGGCCCTGGGAACCCATCTTCAAATTCCGATCGCATGGGACCAACAGACCTGGAGAACAGGCCAATGCATTCTGAGGATGGAATCCCAATATATCCCCAATATACTATATAATAGTTTCCATGTTCTTTTCCACTAGCCCAATCGATCCGCAATATACTAATATATAGTAGTCTCCATTTTATTTTCCATTATCCCACTGTTTTCAAGTGCTGCTCGGCGGCTCTGGCCGGGCAAAGAGGAGCGTAGCTTCTCCGTGTCTACCATGTTGGACTTTCAAGTAAAGGAGTTTGCTGATGATGGGGTTGGTTGTTTCGAGTTTTTCGGATGTCGAGGTTGTCTTCAAGTTGGGCTAAGCGCGTCCCGGCACTGCAAGTTTGACTGTCAGTGGCTGTCACATGCTGTCACTATGAGTGGCTGTGGCGGTCAATGGCAGAGAAGGCTAACCAAGTTGAAGCCCATGTGAGTCGTGTTTTTTGGTGGTTGAGCCAAGTAAGATCATCCTCCTTATATAAAATACTGTACTCAGAAGGAGTATATAGTCTTACTCTACATTGGGTATCAAAGTACCCACCCCAAACAAAATACTACTCATGTCGGCCTGTTACACATCTGAAAAACGATCTAATTGGCTGGCGTTTTGCAGATTCCATTTCATTGTCCATTATCCCCATCTAACCCCAACATAATATAGTAGCTTCCATTTTATGTTCCACTATCCCTGGCTCAAGTCCTGCGAGCCCGAGATTTGGAAGATGCCTTTGATTGCCGTCGGTGATTTTGAGCCAAGTCCGAACAGTTTGCATAAGAATAGCCACCCATTGGGGGTAATATCATGGGTATATTGGGGTTATATTGGGATACTGGAAAAGACAATGGAAAGTGCTACTATGGGGTCATATAGGGTTTAGGGTTCAGGGTTGGGGTCATATTGGGATAATGCGAAAGGAAATGGCAACTACTGTGATATCTGAAGCAGAGCCAACTTGGCTAACGGATAGTGAGACTGGCAGGCTCATACATTGCAGGACGGTGTTGCAAAAGGCGGGCACCAGAGGTGATCTCTCTGAGTAAAATGACAAGCCATCCGCTGTTTCATCTTTTGCGCCCGAGCATACCTGGCCAATACCGGCCGGGAGATCCCGGCCAAAGATATTGGACAGTCGCAAGGGTGCGCTCTGGATTCTCAGGTTCATCAACGCTGAAGGTTGAGTCACTGAGGCGCAGTGCAGCAACAAGTATGGACAACCAGAGCCTGAAGTGCAAGTGCTTCCATCAGGACCATATTTCTTCCTGTAGCTCATGCTGCTGTGGTTGTCCATGTGGCGTCTGCATCGACGCTTAAAGGCGTCAGGCGGCCATGCAGCCAGCCAGGAGAAGCAGAATAAATGGCCGTGCTCGGCAGTATCTTCTGGTCAACTATGATCAGGACACGCTCTTTGCGCGCCTGTGCCAGTCAGTTAACGTCTTCACCCAAAGAGACGATGCCTTTTTCACTTCGGCGAGACTCTAGTAAGATGGTGCATAATAAATAGAGGTAAACATGTTTCTGCTACTATGCCATCGCACACGACCCATACCTGACATCACTCTCTTAATGGGGAATCTGTATCTCCTCATGCACGGATGCAAGTCCTGCATACAGAGTGCATTCCGCTGCATTTAGCACATAAGGCTTTTCGTCCTCCGAAAAACACCCCAAGCACTAAATCCTAAATAGTAGTAGTTGCCATTTTGTTTATCATTATCCCGATATTACCCACCCCCATATATACATACTCATATAGACATATATCCCATACATACCCCCAATGATATTATCATCCCTAACCGTCGGATGCCATACTGACAGCTTATGTGCGCAGTTTTCCCAAGCCAGTGGGCCGTCCTGGGCCACGACGTCTGAGGCTGCGCAGCCTGGTGCGTCACTTTTGCGTGACATGGAAGATGCGATCTTCATGATTCATCAGCATTATATTGGGGTAATATTAGGGTTCTGCTGGGGTTATATTGGGACTATGGAAATACAATGGAAGCTACTACATGACCTCCTCCTCATGAGGTTACGTGTGGGCTTCATCGAGTTCAAGAGCGTCTCTGGAAGCTACTACATTATGATATTTCGGGGTTTCCTGATCTGAGATCCAGTGCGCAAGCTGCCTCAAGTAGTTTCTTCTGGCTGCACTCGTGACTTGATATATGATCCTGGTGCTCGGCTCGCCGGCCTCAACCCCCCCCCCACCCCGGCCATGCTTCAAAAGTGTCAACTGTCACAGGGATCGGGGTTGTGGGGATTGCCATCCTCATAACTGTCGTGACTTTAAGCCTAGCTTTCATCGCGGCGGGGTGGTCAACCTTCTATGAAACCACAACCCACCGTAAACCTTATTGAAATCTTCTGTAAGTTGACTCTCTGTAACCCTAATCTAAACCACAAGACCCTGACCACAGGCCACAGGACCACAGGGGCGGGGTGGGGTAATCGTGTATAGTACAGACCCTTTGCACACACTGTAAACCCTCTTAAAGTGAAACCACAAGACCCAGACCACAGGGAAGAGGACCACAGGGGGGTTGGGGGGATGTGCCCAACCCGAGACCCCGACCACAATACAGGGTGGTAGCGGGAAATATTCAGCTCTGCTCCATTTGCCAAGAACTGTCCCGTGGCAGCTTCAGTCGGTCAAAGCAACCGTAGAGCGAATGTAAAAGGCTCATAAACACCAAACAAAAGAAAGCCATGCGACACCAAAGACGCGGCCATCACGGGCTGTGACTCATGCGTTTGCTAGATACAATTTAGATGCTGCAGTCTGCCAGACACCCTCATGCACCATGGCCACTTTAAAAAAAAAAAAAAGCTTCAAGCCTTGACCATTGCATGCAGTGCATCTAATGGGAGACCTAGGTCTACCTACCTTTGGTTGGCTAGGAATAACGGAATAGATCCTTATAGTAGTCTCTATTATAGTAGTTTCCATTTTCTTTTCCAGTCTAACCCAGGAACCCTGAACCCCTAAACCCCATATCAACCCTATTATCCATGTAGTTTCCATGTGCTTTCCATGCTTTCATTCCCAGCTAACCGAAGGCCAGCCCAGGACTATGCTTTTAGCATCTTTGACCGCCATAGTCCGGCAGAACACTGAACCAAGCATGTTGTCTTCCTGAGGGTTTAGAGTTTAGGGATTTAGGGTTTACGGGTTTAGGGTTTAGAGGTTTAAGGTTGAAGGACCTCGAACCTCTCTCTGGCAGTACTTGGCAGAACTGGCCTTTGGTTAGTTGGAAACAAAGGAATGGAAAAGCAAATGGAAACGGCTACGATGGGTTATATAGGGACTACTATAAGGATGCATTCCTTCATGCCTAGCTAACTAAAGGCCACAGAATGGCTCTGCCGACTCTCTGCTGCCTCTTGAACTCCGGGCCTCGTCAGGATTGTTTCTCCACGTCGCCTGGCCGGTAGAGTGGCTTGCGCGCTGTGTTACATCACCCTCAGCGAGCCCCAACCTGGCAACATCACTTGCCGAGTTCAGCTCCCAAACATCTTAAGATGAGTGTAATGTTGGAAATGTTAGGATCTCGGAGGGAGCAACGGCTTGCTGCCAATGCTTGCATCCCCGGCAGACCTAGTATTAAATCACGGCCAATTTGGCAGCAGGCGAAGCTTCCACAGAAGACAGCAGACACACTACACACGGTGATCTGCTTCCTCTTGAGAACAGTCCCGCTGGATATCTGTGGCCTTGACTGGATACGATGCAAAACTCCTTCTACGCTGAGCAGGACTCGCGCATCGAACCAAACCAGATTTTGAATCGGTCTTTTGAATCCTCCTGTTGCAATGTGTTAAGCGTTCCCCGATTGGAATTGCCTCTTTCCGATGGTTCACTTGAAGATCGCAGAATTTGCCAGACTCTGTTTTCTGAGAAGCTTGGCGTTGCTTCGGAGCGTCAAGAGTTTGCAGAAAAGTCATGGAGCCAAGTGGAGTAGACGAACCTGGGATCTGCTACTCCCCCGGCATTGAACACAGGAGATCTCCTTCTGCTGGCTTCTCTTAGACATGTGTTAACACTGGCACATGATGTATCAGCAATTTCAAGATCACCTTAAACCCTGAACCCAAGAACTTAGGCCTCAGGCTACGGACCTCGCTTAAGGCCATCCAGACAGGAGACAGCGCACGTTCATGCAAGATACTATATTGGGGAAGCCATATTCAATACTATATTTACCCACAATGGTAACTTAATTTAAGTTCCTGAGTATTTGAGAGAAGGCCGCATGTTCAGTTGTCCCGGTGTTTGCTCTTGAGGGTGGGCAGCTTTCGCCCTTCTGTTTAGGTATAGGCCTCGGACGTCTGTTCGTCAGCTGCTGTGGACTTCGAGTGCCGTTCGTTCGTTTGAGTGCATGGGTCGCAGGGCTTTGAAATACGCGTGCGCTGAGGCTAAGCTGAAAGTACTGAGAGCAGTGACAGGCTGAACCTGAGCAGGGGTTTAGGGTTTAGGGACTTAGGGTTTAGGGTTTGGGGGGGGGCTATTTTGAATCTTGCCTTGTTTAGAATCACCTGGCCAAACCTACCACATATCGAGTTCACAGAAAGTGCTTGCCTTCCAGGGGCTCGGGGCCGTAATTCGCTGCCCACAGGTCTTTCAGCTCACCCTGGCGGCACCAGGGACTGTAGTGTAAGCTCCTAGTATCCTCCTAGTATATTACCCCGGGTAATATTGGGGTTAGGGTTTAGGGTTTAGGGTCATTGGGTTTAGGGTTTAGGGTTTAGGGAATATTACCCCCCCAATAATGGAGAATCAAATGGAAAAGAAAAAAGGAACATGAAATGGAAACTGGGACTATATAGGATTTACTATAATGACCTTAGAATAACGGCTTGGACCCGTGCATTCCTTTCAGAAGGAAGCCCTCCCTGAATCTCCCTCAAGCTCGGTGTCTGTGTCAGTCCGCCAGTTTAGGGTTTAGGGTTTAGGGTTTCTCTTCAAAACTATCGGAGGCAAGGCCTTGCGGAGGGCGATGATGCAGGTGGGAACCTGAATTAGCTTTGGATGTCTGAAGCCTTGTTGAACTGTCAGCTTAGATATCGCCAGGAAACTTGAATGGATCTTATCTCTCAGTTCTGGGGCACAAGGGATTGCTTTCAAGAAGAGACTTGGAAAAGCCGCTGCTTCCATCCAATGGCACAACCTCACATCGGATCCAAGTCTCCGGCCAGCGTACCAGGCACCAGGAATAGGAGGGCTGGCTGGCCATGCTGCATGAGGTACAAGGACCTTTTCAGAGCAAGCGATTTGTGTCTGGGTTCCCTGATGGAAGATGACGCTTCGCTTTGAGTTTCCCATGCTGCCGCAGGTCCAACTCTGGTTAACTCCTACAAGCTGTAGTCTCCTCAGACCTATAATAAAAACATGATTCTAATAGTTCCTTAGGGTTATATTATAATTTTCCGAAAGAGACTACAGTAAGGACCACCATCTGCCAACGTAGCGTTCGCAGCAGTGCATTTCAACCCCAAGCAAATGCTATCAGCCGCCCGTCTCTGCTCCTATGCACTCGGACCTAAACCCTAGCCTATATAACTTCCATTTTCTTTTCCATTATCCCCCATATAACCCCAGTCGTACTGAGATCCCCGCACGAAAGTGGCTAGTAGGCCGACAGCATAGCCAATGACACCGGCAAGAAAATACCTCTTCCGCATCAGAGTTCTGCTAGGAGTGGAGGTGCAGGTTATCCAGGGTTTAGGGTTGAGGGCTGGTTGCCATGCTGTTTATGAAGACGAAGCTGCTAAGAATCCATCCCGCGCACCCCGCACATCGTCGATGGCGCTTCACCAGATCATGGCGCCTCTGCAAACTTCCCATCGCTTCTGTCAGGCTCAAACACTCCAGCCTGGTGCAACTCTACTAATCCCCTCCCCCTAAGATGAAGCCTAATCCCTTCCCCTAAGATTAAACTCCCCCACCCCCCCCTCCCCCAATATGAAATACTCCCAATATATTACAATATACCACATAACCGGAGCATTTAATATTAAGGGGGGGGGTCAATGTTAGGGGGAGGGGATTAGACAAGGTTTCATTCCATCCCACTGCAAGTGAGCCGACGGCAGGAGCAGCGAGATCAAGAGGCCAGGGATGGCGATGTCGCCAAGACCCAGGATCTCACGAGACGAAAACATGGTGAATTATTACTGTTACTACTACTAGTACTACTATTGTTATTACTACTATTATTGTTGTTATTATTAAGTTATTATTACTACTATAACTCATAGTACTACTATTGCTGCTGCTGCTGCTGCTACTACTACTACTACTACTACAATACTATAATACTATTACTAATATTATTATCAACATTATTAAATTTGACATTACTGGATTGCACCGGCGCATAGGGCTCGGCCTTGAACTGTCCTGGCAGCTCCCCATCGAGCGCCGGAATCTTCAGCACCATGGGCCTCAGCTAATGCGAAAGAGCTAGCTTCTTACCTTGGTTAGCTAGGCATGAAGGAATGGATCCTTATAGTAGTTCCTTTTTTAAACCCATTATCGTAGTTGCCATTTTTCTGTTGATTCACTCCTTCATTCCCAGCTCACTAACGGTAAGGCTTGGGAAAGCCACTAGTCCCCGTGCTTATCTCTTCACTCACATGAACTATAGTCTAAACTCCTAGTATCCCCCTTAATAACCCCTATAGTAATCCCCTATATAATCCCCTATATATCCCCCTTTAAAGAGTTTAGACCATAGCTCACATGTGCGCCGAGTCCTCAACACGCTCTGCCCAGTGCCTCCTCCTGTGGCTACCTTCAGGCAATCTACTAGAATGGGTTATATAGGGTTATATTGGGGGATAATGGAAAAGAAAATGGAAACTACTATAATGGGTTATATAAAGTAATCATGATTAGTAATAACAATCATAGTAGTAATAGTAATAGTACTCATAATAGTCGAAATAATAATTGTAGTAATAGTAAAGGCAGTATCGATGTCCATCATGATCAACACAGCCAAAGGCAGACAGAGCCTACAGCATGTGACCGCTGGTGGGACAGGGCATGGCGGGGGGGGGGGAACCCCAGCACACCTCGATCATCACCGACTTCTTGAAGATCACGGGCGAAATGAACACCCAAAAGATGTCAAAGAAGAAAGTACAGATCAGGAGCAGAGTTCCTACCTGCGGCAAACAGCATGATGCCTGCATCATGTCATGGATCTCCCTAAGCATCTGCAATGATTGCCATGTACGATGTGCCATAGCCAAGACGTATAATCCCCCTTAAGTAGATAGAATATGTCTTTGGGCAAATTCTATTTCAATAAAATCCCCATATACCCCATATTCTATCTACTTAAGGGGGACTATGACAACAGCATGCCAAGGATATCCTTCAGATTTGGCAGTCGCACTGTGCGCTGCAGGGTCAGCAGGAACATGATCGCGATGATGTCCTGCAGGGCCCAGCCTCAGCCATGGAGCAGTACAGCGGACAGCGCAGCAGCCACCACATGGCAACATTTAGGTGCCCATTGGGGTAATATTAGGGTTGCAGTGGGGACATATTATATGGGGATATTGGAAAAATGGAAACTACTATAATGGGCTATATAGGGCTTATAAACCATGATTCCAAATGTCATCGGGGCCACAGCCAATGTCATCATCGTTTCGAAAGATCAGGAAGCAAACAGCTAGAACCTTAGAGAAGCAAAACCATCACTGACTCGGTCGAGGCAGCTTCGCTGCTGTGTCCCACTTTATCTTGAGGTTATATTGGGGTTAGGGTTTAGGGTTCAGGGTTGGAGTTATATTGGAATAATGGAAAATAAGATGAAAACTACTACAATGGGGTGATATAGGGTTTAGAGTTGGGGCTGTGCTGGGATAATGGAATATGAAATGGAAACTATTTACGGTTAAGGGTTTTTTGGGGGATCGTCTGGTTAGGTGTGAAAATGATACCAGTAGCCTTGGCTATCGCTATTGAGTCACGAGCGGGCATATGTAGTAAATAATAGGGTTTCCCCAACATAGTAACTTAAACTAAGTTCCCTACCAGCAACCCGGTAGCTGGGGTTCAAGCGAGACCAACCAGCTCAGACAAAACCTCCGTCCAGGTTTGCTCCTGGAAAACAAGTGTGGAAACACCTCATGGAAGCAAAGCATGGCTTGCATATCCAGGGCGAGATGCAGGCACAGATTCGATTAAACCCCAACCCTAAACCCTAAACCCTATATAACCCCTTTATAATAGTTTCCGTTTTGTTTTCCATTATCCCAATATAACCCCAACCCTAAACCCTAAACCCCAAAATCCTAAATCCTAAACCCTAAACCCGAAACCCTAAACCCTAAACGGGGAGCTTAAGGCCCTTTCTCGCACATGCATGTGTCTGATGCGGATCAGAACTGGAGGCTGCCACGTTCGAAGCACAAGGGTTTAGGGTTTAGGACTTAGGGTTCAGGGTTTAGGGTAAGTCCTTCTCGACCCCAAGCACGTTGACTACAACGTCTGGCAATGTACACGCCTGTACAGCTCGAGATCAGAAACCATGAGCTCCGTGTTGCAAAAAGCATGCCCTCCACATGCAGCCTACACGTTTGAGGATGACCTTGCTTGTCTGCAGCACCACACACGGACATTTCTAGAATTGGCTTCGCGCTGCGCTGAAGCTACAAGGACTGCGGGAGACTCCACAATAAGTCAGCGTTTGCCAGAGCCAGCAAGAGCTGCTGATATTAACAATATTAATAGTAATCATATTAATATTCATATTATTGATATTAATATTCATATTATTAATATTGATATTATTAATGGATTCCGCCTTCTTCGCCCGCAGGGCTGGGAAGCAGGAGGCAAAGGCAGGCTCCAGGAGGACGCAAGTTGTAGACCTCGGACGCTCTGACAATGCTCTGGCAAGCCAGGTGAAATGAGCTATAGTCTAAACTCCTAGTATCCCCCTTAATAATGGAGAATCAAATGGAAAAGAAAATGGAAAATGAAATGGAAACTGGGATTTTTATCGGGAATTATATAGGGGTCAGACTCCTAGTATCCCCTTACGCAGCCCCTATAGTAGTCCCCTATCCAATCCTCTATATAACCCCCTGTAAGGAGTTTAGACTATAGTTCAAATGTCGCGCCGCCCTTGCACTCCTGCGACCTGCAAAGACTGCCGTAGGCCGCTTGCACTGCTCCTGATGCGAAGAGGAACAGCAGCAAATAGATCAGGTACCTGCTGGAAACAAGTTGCAGGGCGTCTTTGACTTTGACTGCTGCATTTGAGCTATAATCGAACTCCCCTACATGCTCCCGAATCTTATCCCCTATATGACCCCCTTTAGTAAGGAGTTTTTATGCTATAGTAGTTTCCGCTGTCTTTTCCATTTTCCCTATATAGCCACAATGTATACCCCAATATTCTATAGTAGTTTCAATTTTCTTTGCATTAGCAGAGTGCCTGGCAACACTTCAGAGCCGGAAGTCACTTCATGAAGAAGTAGAGGACGGTCAGCAGCAAGGAGCCGAACAAAACGAAGTGAAGCCCTGCAGACTCCTCGTTTTGCTGGGAATCTAGGGCTTTGGGTTTGGTGTTTAAGACAAATCGGCGCAAACTACCCTCTCAAGTTTCGCGCTCGGATCTGGTATAAGGATAGTGGAAAAGAAAACGGAAAATACTATAGTAGAATAGGGTATACATTGTACACCCTAAACCCTAACCCCATAGGGTCTACATGCGAAGTCGCGTTGACACCTGCTCGCGCTACCTAATCTGTAGAGTATGTTATGGTGTAATACAGTATACCAAGCAAAGTATAGTAGAATATAATTTGGCAGAAAAAACTTACCAACATTGCCAACATGAGTCGAAATATCTTGCGAAATGGGCTTCTGCATTCAATTGTAAACCTGATCTGCACTCTCGTCAAAGGTTAACATGGTGTTTGCGTCAAACCAAGCACTTGGGCCGCACACCTCAACAGAAACCGTCTCGCTTTGCCGCTGCGCATCCTGGCAATGCCATAAAATACTACATTATACTGTGATATACTATATTATACCAGAATATACTCTATTCTACCATAATAAAGTAGATTAACCCATAATATACTATATTATACCATACTATACTATATTCTACCATAATGAAGTATACCATAATGTACTAGATTATACCACAGTATACAGGTCAGCAAAGGTGCACCGATGCTCGCAGCAGGCATGCATGCAAGAGGGATACCCTAAACCCTAAACCCTAAATCCTAAACCCCTAAACCCTAAACCCTAAACGGTGGCCTCTTCAGCAGTGCCGGGCCGCCTAAGGTCCTGCAGCGCAAATTAGAGGTTATATGGTAGTTTCCCAAAATAAGGGGACCCCAAAATACCATAGTCCTTATTATAGGGACCCCCAAAAAGGGTACCCCTAATTTTGGGAAACACCCATATAGGATTTAGGGCTTAGGGTTGGGGTTATATGGGGAAAATGGAAAATAACATGGAAGCTACTGTTTAGGGTTTAGGGTTTAGGGTTGGGGTTATATAGGGATAATGGAAAATAACATGAAAACTACTATAGTCTATTGGGGTTATATAGGATAATGGAAAATAACATGGAAACTGCTCCAGTCTATTGGGGTTAGCAATCCTTACTTGAAACTTCATTGCACCACAGGACGCCGCCCGGATGATATCTCGGAAGCTCTGGGACAGATTGCGCCTCCACACCATACCAAGCGCCCACGGCGACCAAGGCAACAGCCAGAACTCCTGTGAAGGCCTGGAGTTTAGGGTTTACTGGGTTGGCCCCTGAAGCCCTTTGAAAAATATTAGTATATAGGGTCCCTTATTAAAGCCATTAGGGAAAATATCAAATATCCCAGGGGCCTACCCAGTTTAGGGTTTAAAGGACAAAGTTGAGGCTAAGCATCAGCAAACCTGATATCCCAGCCTCGCTAAGCAGGTCTCCAAAGACGCTGCCTTTCCTGATCACCCAGATCACAGCTTGCAAGAAAATATGATATGTAAGAATCATATGGTAATCATAGATAGAGTCCTCATTTTGGGGGGCGGGGTAACTCAAATCCTGGTGGTACCCATGATAATTGCTACAGCTGCCCAGGCTACAGGCGAACACCGAAGTCATAACAAAAGCAGTTCTGTTGGCACTCCCGCAAGGTACCGCCCGTTACGACTAAAAAAACATAAGTCATAACAAACACCCGTTTCCGCACGCAACCGCTGGCATGTGAAAGCTACTGGAAGTCTCAGAAACATGGATTTTGTGAAGCCTTTTCCACAACTGAAGTCATAACAAACGGCCTTCTTACCTTTGAACCGCTGCTCTAGAAGCCATGTCCTAAGGCACCATCATGGTGTACAGGGGCTTAAAGAGAGCGCCCGTGCGAGCCCTGCGCGACTCTGCGCGAGCCACGCGCGAGTCAATGTGAAACCAGCACCTATGAAATACGCAGGCCCCAACCGTAGTGATAGTATCAGCCCTACATTAGTATGCGCATGGGGACGGGTTTAGGGAGTTTCGCGGAGACACAAAGGGCCTGACAGGCGTCTGATATTTGTAATCTCAAGAGAGCAAAACTGCAGAGAGACCGCCGATTGTTACGACCGTGCGCATTTGCACCTCCCCAGTAAAAACCAGTACATAACCTGAAAATCGTTACGACTTCAGTTGTCCCCTGTACCTCTTCCAGCATGATGCGGTGAGCTTCTTGTCTTTCTGCATTGCCAAGAGAACCTTCCATGCGGCAAACGGACGCTTCGTAAGTACGTACTGCCCCCAGATCTCGGTTTCCCAGCCAATGTGCATTGCAGGGTTGGCCCCTGAAACCCTTTGAAAAATATTAGTATATAGGGTCCCTTCTTAAAGCCATTAGGGAAAATATTAAATATCCCAGGGGCCTAGCCAGATTGTTTGGCTTACACCCCTGAGCTGCCATGCAATGATCTTTTGTTGCCGACTTCCGCTACTCTTCCGGAAAACATGGCGCTGATGAAACTCGGAAGATGCTAAGAAGACCTGGGGACCATTTGGGAATTTTCCAAAATTAGAGGTACCTTTTTGAGGGTCCCAAAAATAAGGATTCTAGTATTTTGGGGTCTATACTGGGGTTCCCTCATTTTGGGAAACTACCATTTGCCTTCGTGTGTGGGCTTCACAGCTAAACCCTAAACCCTAAACCTAAGGTAGACACAGAGAGGCAAAAGGGCAGGGCATGGCTTCTCCGGGGAGGGCTTTGTTGGACTGGAATCAAATATCTGCGGAGCCCTGCCATCTCCCTACAGCCACTACAGAGTCACTATCCATCTCGAAGCATGGCCTGCCGACCCGCGGCTTTGGAGATTCCCAGTGCTGGTATGCTGGGCTCCTTCCCCGACAACCTCATCAGTCTAAATCAGGAAGTGCAGCACAGACGAGCACCAAGCAAAATGCACACCTAAGTGTGCTTTGCGCGCAGCCGTGAAGATAGTTGAGGCGAGCATATCAGGGCAGCAGACTCTGCGCCGAGGCCCATGGTGACCGCAGAGGTTCGCATGGTCACAATGAGCAGTTTTGCTCCTGCCAAGAGTGCAAACCCGCTGTACCTGCCTGCTCATTGAGCTCACCTAAGCAGTACTAATATTATTACGATTACTATTATCACTATTCTTACTATTACTACTACGATTACTACTATTACTATTATTAGTAGTATTCCTCACCTGTCAACTCATCCCCGCAGAGCTGCAGGGCAATTCGAAGAAATAAATCCGAGTAACACTTCAGAAGCCGTGTCTCTCAGTCCTGCAGCTATATAACCCCTAACTATACACCACCCATATAACATAGAATATATACCCTGGGGTTTAGGGTGAGGATAATATAGTAGTTTCCATGTTGTTCTTTTCCATTATCCCTATATAACCCTATTTTATCCAAATATTACCTAGGTACTGTCCCTCAGTCCTGCAGCTTGCGCCCGCTGAGCCTTCTGCGCGAAAGTGCAATTCCTGAGCGTAGCCATCAAGCAGAACACGGGCAGAACATGGGCATTGGCACATCCGACTTGACCTGCTCCTGCTTCCTTTTCCGAATTGGCAGCAACGCCGCCAGCTCCAGACAAGCAGCGAGAGATTCCTCGTGCCATATCGGTCAAACCATCTGAAAGTGCAGCTACAGCACTACCCCGCCAGATCGGAGTTTAGCTGCCCGTCATGTCATTGCTCGCCGTAATCCTGAAGCGCTCGCTGCACCAAACGTGGACTTCTTGACAGCTTCAAGCCACCGGAAGCTCTGCGTGTTGAGCCGTACTCCCAGACCCCTGGGAGGATCTAAAAATTAGATCCCCTATATAGGCCCATTATAACCCCTATATAATCCGTAACAGCCATGAACTTGCCTTCTCGTCAGGTACTGGAGTCTCATGTTGGCTGAGGCGATGGAACCACAAAGGAAGTACGGACGCCTACTAACTCACACGCCCAGGCCAGCGTTGAGTTAGAAAATGTTGCAAGTCTCTGGCATCGGGACTTACCGTGGTAAGCCAGAGCTTTGAACAACACAGTAGGTGCAGGGCACCAGCATCAAATGGAAAAGCCCGTGGCCCCAATGGCCAAGCTTCTCATTTCTGATCCACATATACCCGCCCAGTCCGTATGAAGCCATAACACCTGCATAGTTTGCAAAATCTCCTCGCAAGAGCATGGCTGAAGTGTAGAGCATGATGCATGCTATGACGCGAAACGAATCCATTTTGCTGCCTGGGATGGCATGAAGGCGCTTGTGTAGGAGGAGCAAAATGCATACACTGTTCATGGTGAGCGACAGCATTGGTATGTACCAAAGTCCAGGGGACACTGCGATGCAGTAGGTGAACATGCAAACGTGAATGAGACACATATCTGCAGTGCGAAAGGCACTGCTCAAGTGGTCCCAGCTTGGGTCAGTTGTGTGGTAGGCGCACTGAAAGTGGTAGCTTGCCGAAGCCAGACAGTGCACAACGGTGGCAACGGTCATCATCCAAAGCGAAAAATGGTTTGCGAAATCCACGCCGAAAACTAAGTAGATGCTGGGAACAAGCATGCTCGTTGCACTGAAAATCTCCTGCCAAAAGCGCCCCACGCAGCGGACAGGCGGAGTTCCACGAATCTCCAGGGAGGCTCTGGGGTTCATCACAGGAAGGCCCTCTACAGATGCAAGCAGCTACTCCACCATCTGACAGAATCTGACATGTGCAGCTGACATGTAGCATGGCGTTCATGGCTTTGGTGCTTCCGTGAATCGAACGCCACCTGTTGATCTTCGCACGCCAAGAACACGTGCTGTTTATGCCTTCTGCACTCTCCGCTGTCTGGGTGAAACACACCTACGAGTAGCACGTAGTCATGCTTCTGATCGCTGTTGAACTTGCAACGCATTTAGGAATCAAATCACATCCTGAAGAACGCCCTGCCAGCTACATTCGCCACATTCGCTACATACTCCAACAACTACATGGCCCGTTCCAGCCGCATGTGAGCTGTGAGCTCACTACCTAATCATGGATGGCGCCCTGATGCCGCAGACGGTATGTCACGAATGATAGGAAGATGATGGCCAGGGCACTGGAAATGCCAATGATGAACCACCTCAGTCTGAAATGGATGTTCACAATGGCAGTAGCAGGCAAGAAACATCAGAAGCCGAAAAGGATGAATCTCGCTCGCTGGACTACACCGTGTCAGCAGTATCCATGCTTGTGGCAATGCTGTGCTCATGCAACCCACAATATGACAGTTTCCCTAAATAAGGGGACCCCAACATAGACCCAAAAATACTATAATCCCTATTATGGGGACCCCTAAACGGGTACCCCAATTTTTGGGAAACCTCATATAACACTGGTCGAATCATCGCCACTGCATCTCAGACGACCACCTCATCGTGACACGAGAACCTGGACCGTCAGGCGTGCTGTCGGATGCCTGACGCTGGAGGTTCCACCAACGCAATGTATCAGCTTAAAAGCCTATAGTCCCCCTTAAGTAGATAGAATATAGGGTTTAGGTTTTTTTGGGGTTTAGGGTATATAGTCCCCCTTGAGTAGATAGAATATGGGGGGATCTTATTGTAATATACCCAAAGCCATATTCTATCTACTTAAGAAGGGACATAAAGCTTCGATGGCTTCTGCATTTGCCCAACCCTGCAATGGAAGGCACATGTTGTATGATCAGGTGTCTTTGAAGTGATGGCAACACTTGAAAATGGGTAACATGTACACGCTGAAGCTACGCGGGTCCTGGATTCTATACCTTACACCTTGCAGATCGCAGTGGCTGAGGCGTCATTACTTACAGCTCAAAGGTTCACAAAAAACCTCAAATCGATGTGGAGAATCAGCCCATACCTTCGTGACTTCGATTCTAGCCACTAGCCCTGCTCAAGAGATGAGATGTCCTGCGGGCAATGGTGGCAGGTCTTTGATGTACCTGTTCTAGACACTAAACGTCCGGCAACTTGCAACACTAAAGTACATATAAGCTATAGTCTAAACTCCTAGTGTCCCCCTGAATATCCCTTATATAATCGTCCCCTATATATTCCCCTATATAACCCCCCTTTAAGGAGTTTAGACCTTAAACCCTAAACCCGAATCCCTAAACCCTAAACCCTATAGAATCCCCTACATAACCCCCCTTTAAGGAGTGTAGACCCTAAACCTTAATCCCTAAACCCGAAGACCTATTCAAAGAGATCCAAGGAGACCCAGCTAAGGCCTTGAAGGGCGACCGGACGTCGGGTGGAGGCGCTGGGGCCAGCGGCAGGGATACCCGAGCCTCGCCGAACAAGCAGACTAGGACTACAGCCGGCATACATACATATATGCTCCCCGCAAAAAAAAAAAAAAAAGGAAGCAGATAATGGGGGGTGGGTGGTAGGTACCATATGCATGTATATATAGAACGTTATGAAGTTGCAAGGTGTCTCGGGCTTGGCTATCGCGTCCTTGGCTATTGCCCAGTCAAGCTCAGGAACTCCGAGCGCTGATCTCGTAAACCAAACTTCTGCTCTCTGACTATGAGAGGGTTTGGCGGTTGCGTGTCATCATGCCGTCGTGTCGGAAACCAGCATGTACTAGCATTCACCCTCCTGCGCTCTTGCATTTAAGACCATCTGGGTGGTTGACAAAATGATGATCCCTTTCTGGGCACCCTAAATATTAGGTGCCGTATTATAATAGGGATCCAAAAAGGGACCATAACATTAGTAAGCACCCATTTGCTGAACAAAACACGATGTCCAGGAATCATTCCTGAAGATCCTGCCTCGCTGCAGCCGCTTCCTCCCCCCTGGAAGCAGCAAGCAACATCTCACAACAAAGATTCCACAGGTGTTTAGGGTTTGGGGCTTGGAGTTTGGGTTTCAGGTTTAGGGCTTAGCGTTTAACGTTACGGTTTAGGGTTTAGCAACTCAGGGGCGGACTTCACGCTTCAATCAGCCCCTGTGCCTCACAGAAGACTTCTGTAAACTCTCGGTGCAGGAGCGCCAGGTGCGTTCCTGAGAACTTGCACGGGGTACACAAGTGCCAGCAAGATCAAAATCGGACACTCCCATTCCAAGAGCCTAGGGTTTAGGGTTTAGGATTTTAGGGTTTAGGGTTCAGGGTTTAGGGTTCAGGGTTTAAGGTTTAGGGCATTGATAAAGCCTGGGTCCATCAGATCAGCTCCTGGCGCAGATCAGATGGGCCAGCGGTGTCCAGCGAGAGGCACTCGCACCAGCTGCAAAAAGGCATTGTTAGGCACATGTCTGAACAGTTTCCACTTTCTTTTCCAGTATCCCAATTCTCCCCGTGTATATATTTATATAACCCCAATATATACCCTATTATGATTGTTTACTGTAGTTTCCACGTGCTTTTCCACTATCCTACCTAACCCCAACCCTAATGTGACCATAGCATTAATAAAGGGGGTGGCAATAGCATTCTGTTGCCGGGCCGGGAAAATCCCATACAATCAAACTTGCTTTCTAACAAATCTTGAGCCCAACCAGATCTACTTATTCCATTTTGTTTTCCATTACCTATATAACCCCGCCCTAGACTCTAAACCCTAAACCCTATATAACCCCATTGTAGTAGCTTCCATTGTCTTATCCATTACCCCTACATAAACCTATATTCTACCATTGTCTAAACTTCACGTATCCCCCTTAATAACCCCTATAGTAGTCCCCTATGTAATCCCATATATAGTCCCCTTATTGGAGTTTAGACTCTGGCTCATATTATACCCCTATATTCCCCATATTCCCCAGGTAACGGAAGCCCACGCCTGTAACATAGTCCCCCTTAAGTAGATAGAATATTAGGGTTATATTAGGGTTATATAGGGATAATGCAAAAGAAAATGGAAAGTACTGTTTAGGGTTTAGAGTTTAAGGTCCCCTTTAAGTAAATAAAATATGGCTTTGGGTATACTATAACAAGATGCCCATACATACACCATATTCTATCTACTTAAGGGGGACTATAACTCTAAGGATCTGGTTGGCTCTTCTCGTCTGCCTACTAATCCCCTCCCCCTACTATGAAATCCCCCACCCCCTAATATGAATAGTGCATGAGGGTTTCTCTACAAACCCATAAATTATAGTACATCATACTATATTATGGTAATCCCCTACCCCTAATATTAGAACCACCCCGAATATTAAATACTCCCAGTATACTGTAATAAACCACATAATGGGAATATCTAATATTAGGGGGTTTAGGGGCTTAATATTAGGGGAGGGGATTAGTAGCTAGTCCGGACAAAAATGCTTCGAGCCGACAACCAGCCTAGTAGTGTCGCGCATCTTGCCTCAGACATGTTCTACTTGAAGCATGAACCAGACAATGCACGGACATGCACGATGAGGCTTCTGAGTCTTCTCTCGATAGACGTCATGTAACGTGCATTCTCACTGCCCAGCTATCAACAGCAAGAGCAGCACACAAGTGAGGCATGAAGCACCCGCAGCAGCC